TCTCTTCAACAATAAATCTGCTTAAATAACATCAAAGTTGTTTTATTCTCAAAAGTCTTCTTTTCCTTTTTTTTTTTTTAATGGTTAGAAATGGTAAAAATTATGGGAAAATAGAACAAAAAAACCTATAATTTAGTAGTTGCAATTTTTTTTTTTTTTTTACTTATTTCAAAATTCGTTGCAAAAGTTGTTGCGATAAACGGTGTAAAAAAAGACTAAAATTTTGGAACGTCAGTGATGTCATTCCATGCCCCGTTGTTCAGAAGTCACTTAACCTTTTGAGCAAGAGATTTTTGATACAGATTCATTAAAGAAGAAAAAAATGAGCTTTTTGTTAACTTACGTTTTTTTTTTTAAATGTTTCTATGTTTTAATTGCTTCAATTTTTTTTGATCTTTTTTCTTGTTGGGGGAGGGGGGTAGGGGGAGGAAGGGGTTGTTCTTTGCCTTCTTCGTGTGATTATTGAATGATAATTGGATGCCATCATTTCAAGATTACGGTAATTTGTTTTTGTAGTCATTTTTTTGGTCATAATTCTGAGACGGTAGTGACGGTGTTATGGATTTCAAAAGAAATACTAATTGGGCAAATGAACAAAAAAAAAAGAAAAAAAAACAGAAGTAAATATTAGATAAATAAATAAACAAATAGAAGGGAAAATTAAAAATTTTTTTATTTTCCTAAAAAGATCAAGGAAAAAAAGAATGACAAGATAAGTTTAAGCCGAAATGTTTTTCCCAAAAATGATATTTGAAAAGGACGGAAACAGGGCTTTATGATAGATGAGGAGAAAATTTTGGAGAAGGCCGACGATGACAGCAACGAACGAACAACAACAGTAGTAACGGCATCGAGCAGTACCAATGCTTCTGTCTTGCGCCTTCTTGTTTTGGCTTTTTTTTTCTCGTTTTTTTTGTTTCGTTTTTTTTTTCATTGTTTTCAACAAAATATTTGCTGTGATCAACAATTGAATGAATTGAAGACAAGACCAGTAAAGTTTGAATTAGTAAAGGAAGCAAAGGAGAGCAAGGATGGAGAAGAGGCTATAAGGATCCGAAAAGAAGACGAGAAAAATGGAGAGAAAAAGGAGATGAATTAGGGGAGAAGAAAATGCCCATATATGGTGGGCACTTAAAATAATTGCCAATTCTGAATTTGGGCTAATTATCAAAGTTATTCCATTTAACTGTTTCTATTAATGTTTACAATGAATCATTGAATCTTTTTCAATCTTTTTTATAGCATATAGATGTATATAGATACAATTGTTTTTTTTTCTTTTTTCTTTTCTTTTATTACTGAGAAAATTAGAGGTTTGTTGTTGTTGTTGTTGTTG